CCCATGACACGGCTTGCAGCCCACCTAGCCCAGGCCCGCAGCACTGCACAACACAACACAGGTCTGTACGGGCTTGGGCTATGGGCCATGTTGGGCCAACCCCCAAATTATCTCTAGGAGGGCAGCATGACCCAAGATGGTCCACGGGCCACCATGACATGGCCCACACTTTGCACGGGCCACAGGCATGACCGCCGGCATGGCCCATTTTACACCTCTAACTCAACAACCTACACTATTGACGAACTCCAAAAGTCTAAAACCATATTCTTCCATTTTGATCATTTTGGATTCGGATGATCCATTCACATAAATGCATTGGATACGTATTTCATAACCTGCATCATTTATATAATGACAATAAAATGAACACAAATTGATTTAAAGCCAATCCGAGACCCCCAAATCCAATTGGAATTCTGACCAGAACTCAAAATTCAGTTTTCAAAAATTGGACCGAATTTGAATGTGGCTGAAATTAATCGTAATCCAACCCGATTACAACCCTAGTTGAATATTAACACATCTCGCTTGAAATTTATAGTCTTCGCTTACCCAACTGCCAGAAAGCTGATATGATGATCACAAGAACAATAAAAAAAATAATATGTGAACTATTGTTGAACTAGATGGTGCATTATAGATTTTTTTTTCTGCCAGACATGTTACAACAACTCTTTATATAATCTGTTTGAAATAAACAAGTGTTGAGAGAATGCTTCTTGTTATTCCATTGAAACAACTGATATGGCTATAAATAGCCTTACAAAAGAAACAGAAAAAAAAAACAACCACGTTTTACATGCCTATTAATGTGGTAGCTAACTAGGAAACAAACAACTTATTTCTAAAGAATAGCAACAAACTGAAACAAACTCTAAAGACTAAGTCAACAACTAATAACTTTAACATCCACCCTTAAACTGAATACTGATTCTATTTAGTTTATATTTGGATCAGTACAAACCCTAAGCAAATCTCTAAGTTTCATAAACTGATCATGCTTTAATGGTTTGGTCATAATATCTGCAATCTGTTCTTGGGTATGACAATGGATCAACTTCACAACTCCATCTTTAGTAAGCTCACGAAGAAAATGAAATCTGATATCTATATGCTTGCTTCGACCATGTAATATAGGATTCTTCGAAGAGCTCAATAGCTGAGCTGCTATCACAAAAAACTCTTGTGCCATCATTTTGAACATGATTAAAACTCTTCAAAATTCTCCTTAACCATATTGCTTGACAAGCACATGAAGCTGCTGCAACAAACTCGGCTTCAGTGGTAGATGACCACGAAACAGTTCCTGAATTTAATAGGAACACATAACCTGAAGTACTCTTTTGGTCATCTAAATCTCCAGCATAGTCACTATCTGTATAAGCAATTAGCGTATCATCTCCTCCCTTGCTATAAAATATTCTAAAATCTGATGTCCCTTTCAAATATCTCACCACCCGTTTGGTAGTTTGAAGATGAAGCTCTGTGGGATGCTCCATAAACCTACTCAAGAGACTTACCACAAACGTGATATCAGGTTAGGTTGCGGTCAGATACATTAGGCTGCCAATTATTTGCTTGTATTGATTGTTGTCCACCTTTACTCCATTCTTATCTCTCATGAGCTTACAACCTAGAACAATGGGATTATGAACTGAATTGCATTTATCCATATCAAACCTCTCTAATACCTCCTGTGCATACCTCCTTTGACAAATAAAAAACCCTTTCTGACTTTGCAATACCTCTATACCAAGAAAATATCTCATTTTTCCAAGGCCTGTCATGTCGAACTCATGCATCATAGAATTTTTAAGTGCAACAAACATATGCTCATCATTTCTAGTAAAAATCAAGTCATCAACATAGAGACAAACAATCAGAATTTTACCTCATTCTCTCACTTTGGTGAACAAAGTATGTTCATAAGGACATCGTTGGAAACCTACCTTTGAAAAATATGACTATATTCGACTATACCAAGCTCGTGGTGCTTGTTTTAGTCCGTATAGAGCTTTTTTCAATCTATAAACTTTCTGTTCAGCACATTTTTTCTCATAACCAGGAGGTTGTTCGATGAAAACTTCTTCATTAAGTTCTCCATGAAGAAAGGCTGACTTCACATCTAGTTGAAAAATGGTCCACGCCTTTTGAGCTGCAAGAGAAATCACCAACCGAATTGTTTCCCAACGTGCTATAGGTGTGAAGACTTCAGTGTAGTCCACACCATGTTTTTTGGTGTATCCCTTTGCGACCAAATGAGCTTTGTATTTCTCCACCTCACCACTTTCATTGAGTTTCGTCTTATACACCCATTTCACCCCAACCTTCTTTGCTTTAGTAGGCAAGTTTGTCAATTCCCATGTATCATTTTTCTCTATAGCTTCAATCTCCACATTCATTGTTGTTCTCCACTTTGCATCTTTTAGTGCCTCTTTGAATGAAATTGGATCATTAGCAGCAAACATTGCTAAGTTTGTCATGTCTTCTTCCTCCGATAAGCCTTCTCCACTTTCATAATCTCTCATCCAAATTGGTTGCCTTCTTGTCCTTTGCTCAAGAGATTCAAGTGAGAAATCTTCACTTGAGCTGGATGAGTAGCCATTCAAGCCACCAACTCCGCTTTCCTCAATATTGCTATATTCAGCAGTTTCAGCTTCTTCAACTTCAGCACCTGTACTATCATTATCACACCAATTCAAGTTAGTCAAAATAACTTCTTTATGACTTTTTTCCCAATCCCAATTGTTGTCTTCTTCAAAAACCACATCTCTACTCACTATAATTTTTTTAGAAATAAGATCATACAAATTATATGCTTTTGACTCCTTACTAACTCCAAGAAAAACACATCTTACACTTTGTCCTTTTGCAATCAGGGATATGAACATGTGATACGCACCCAAACACCCTGAAGTAATCTACTGATGGTTTGAATCCGCTCCAAACTTCTTCCGGAGTTTTATTCTTCACCGCAAGTGTTGGACTCCTATTGAGAATGTGGACTGTCCAATTCACAGCTTCAAGCCAGAAAATTTTGAGAATCTTCTTTCCTGAAAGCATGCTTTGAACCATATTCATAACTGTTCGGTTCTTTCGCTCCGCGACACCGCTTTGTTAAGGAGTATATGCAGTTGTTAGTTCCCTTCGAATACCATTCTCAATGCAAAAATTAGTGAATTCGAGTGATATGAAGTCACCCCCGCGATCAGTTCGGAGACCTTTTATAGCCAAACCAGTCTCTTTTTCCACTCGAGTCTTATAATTTTTGAAAGTATTAAATGCTTCTGATTTCTCAACCAAAAAATAAACCCAAACTTTACAACTATAATCATCAATAAAACTGATCATGTACCTTCTATTACTGTTGGACATGGGGCTGATTGGTCCACAAATATCAACATGCACGAGTTCAAGAATCTGAGAAGCTCTCCATGTGCTTTTTCGAGGAAATGGATCTCTCTGTTGTTTTCCCACCAAACAATCTTCACATACGTTCGAAGAGATCTCAAGACACAGAAACCCTCTAACCATTCCCTTGAAGAGTTTTCAAACCATTGAAGCTTAAGTGACCATATCTGCAGTGCCAAAGTCAAGCTGGATCTTTCATGAAGGAACTGAAGCAAGCTTCCTCCTTTAGTTGTGTGACAGCAAACATCTTGAACATTTGATTTGAAGACATTACAATCTCCATAATCAGCCCTCTCTCAGGATGATAGATTTTGCATGCCCCTTGTTGTATGAGGATCGCAAGCCCCTTCTCAGCTAGCTGACCAATGCTTAGCAAGTTGTTTTTTAATCCTGGAACATAAAATATGCTAGTAATAATCTGTATAAAACCATTCACCAGCATTCGTATATTACCTTTTCCCATCACATTCATGCTTGAATCATCTCCCAATTTTACCTCTTCCCTGAAGTTTTCTTCAAAATCTGAAAAAAGTTCCTATTTGTCGCACATGTGATTGCTGCATCTAGAGTCTAAGAACCATAACTCTTCTTTGCTGCTTTCTTTATCATTCACATATGCCATCAACAACATTTCTTCATTACTTTCCACATAGTTTGCTTTTGTGTCAAATTCCTTCTTTGGACATTTATACTGAAAGTGCCCAAGCTTATGATAGTTATAGCATTCAATAGTGGATTTGTCAAAATTTCTTCTGCCTCCACCTTGTCCTCATCCTCGCATTCCACCACGACCGCGTCCTCTTTCTCCTGAAGACTCTCCCAAAGTAACCTTCAAGGCTTGCTCTTCCACAACATGAGTTTTCATAAGTTGTTCATGTACTAAAAGGTTACTTTGTAATTCATCAATGGTAAGAGCATCTAAGTCATTTGATTCTTCAATAGAATGCACCACATAATCAAACTTAGATGTCATGGATCTTAATATCTTCTCGATGACTGCTACATCGTCTATCTTTCCTTTGTTGGCTCTCAGCTTGTTGACTATAGCAAGAGTACGAGCAAAATACTCGTTCACAGATTCTCCCACCTTCATATTCAGCATCTCAAACTCCTTTTGAAGAGCTTGTCGTTGCGCTCGTTGTACTCGTGTTGTCCCTTGGTACTTTTGCTTTAAGGAGTCCTAAATGCTTTTGGCTGTCTCCTTATTCAAGATAGTTTCAAGAATTGATCTATCTATGGCCTGGAAGAGATAATTTTTTGCCTTCATATCCTTTAACCTTGCATCATCAATTGCCTTCTTTTGTGCTTCACTAAGTTGAGCGCCCTCTACTGCTGTTGGAATCCCATCTTCGATTATACTCCAATATTCTTTTGATCGCATAAAGTTCTCCATGAGCATACACCAGTGATCATAATGCCTGTTGAATTTTGGGATTGCTGGTTGCACAAAACCACTCTCAGTTGCCATTCTCTCGTTACTAACAAAATAGAAGACTACTGCTTCGGAGCTCAATCAGACCATTGAGATATGACTCTGATACCACTTGTTACAACTCTCTGTATAATATGTTTGAAATAAACAAATGTTGAGAGAATGCTTCTTGTTATTCCATTGAAACAACTGATATGGCTATAAATAGCCTTACAAAAGAAACAGAAAAAGAAAAACAACCACGTTTTACATGCCTATTAACGTGGTAGCTGACTAGAAAACAAACAACTTATTCGTAAAGAATAACAACAAACTGAAACAAACTCTAAAGACTAAGTCAACAGCTAATAACTTTAACAAACCAAAACCCAATTTCAGCAGGTTCGATCCTAGTTAAACCCACTCATTTTTACATAAAATCAATTAAATAGTAGCTACCTTGGAGTAGCCATGTTTTACATTTAATTTGGACAAGTTCAGATATGAAAATATAAATTAAGATTTTAAAAAGAATGTAAAATTGAAATAAAATTTTATATTCACAATTAACCATTTCCCTCCCTTTTTCCAGTCCTCTCTCAAGAGAAGTAACTCAAAAGAGAGAACTTAACCTGTAGGCATATCTTTCCATTCTCCAAATCCAGCTTTGCTCCAGTAACTAGCCAATGTCCTGGACTATCTTTTGCCCCCTTACACAACTCCGACAAGTCTACAAATTTCAATAGTTTCTGAGTATGCACCGGCACCGGAGGACCAGTCGGAAACACAGCAGAGTCAACGACTACCTGTTTGGGCATCTCTTTATCTGGGTTGCCTGAAATTGATGTGCTAATTGCTGAAAAGAAGCCTGACTTCTGAGAGAGCTCTGATGGGCCTTGGGCCCAAATTGATCTAGCAATGCCGGAATGCACCACCTTGGAGAACGAAAGGCGAAGGTGGAGTACACTCTTGGATTCATGCTTCTTCACATGAAGCTGAGCTCCTGTGACTATGAATGCAACGTCTCTGCCAGGAGCCCATTCTGGGTCGTATTTTACTGGCGCCGTGCAAATGTGGGAAAACTTCTTCCATTGTACAGCTTCAAAATACTGTTCATCGCCGATCTCGTCGGAACCTCGCCATCTCAGCATATCTTCTATCTTGTTTTGGAGAATGACCGGCGTGCTTGATAAGTGCTCTAGATGTATGGCCAACCTGAACAAGGAAAGTTTCTGGTTAACTCCAAGTACACTACAACAAATCCTTCTATGAACTCTAGAACTGTTTTACAAAATTGGGCCTTATTGGGGTCGTCCAAATACACCTCAGGCAGAGAAAGCATAGGTGCAATATCCATCAAGCTGATTTTCGGCCCATACAGCCCATTAAACCTTTCTATAGCCTATAGGTGATTGATTGGTTATGGGCCCTTAGGAGTGTATGGGCTATGGTCCCATATGCAAGCTTCATTGATGGTTAAGATCGTCCCATGGAGATATAAAATAGTTGTTAGTTGTCAGTATAAGATTCATCTAACAAGTGCTCCATCTACTCTACTGATTGTATGGTCCAGATTGGTCCACGTTTCAGCCAACAGGCAGATGGGCCCATCTGGTGGATGGGTTATAGCCCCAAAACAAGACCATGCAAATCAATTACTTAGTGCATTAGTGGAGTAAGTGTATAGTATGGACTATGGAGCAGGCCATGCTTACCTGTTGCACTTCATACCTTCGAGATACAACCGCATCCCAGTTACTGGTCTCTCTCCAACCCTAACCTGATAAACAAAATACTTTGGTTTAGATCCAATCCAATAGTGTGAAGCAGAAATAAAACCTACTAGTGATTTGGTTGTGTACATTGTTTGTACCTGAATTGGGTTCACATAGAGCCTTGGGCCCATTAAATTGAAATGAAGAGATGGGGTTGGAATGGCCCTGTTTGTCATGGGCCCCAGTGGAAAGTCATTGTGAATGGGCGCCCACATCTTGTGATATTGGAAGTCGAGAAAGTATTGCAAGTCAGATATTGGAGGCTTATCTGTACATTAAAAAAACATAATAAGAAGAGAAGACTATCAGAGGCTTGAAAATGGCAAAAGCCAAAAGTTGGGTCAAGAATCAATTGTAGTGGCAGTGGAATTAGAGGGAATATTTTAATCAAGACGGATTATACATAAATGTGACTGATTTCAATCAATCATATTAAACATATTCATTGATTCATATTTCATAAAATATATTTACTATTGATTCACATATTTTGCTTTATAGTCAAATTTTTACACCATAATTTTGCCTTTGCATATAAAAGAAATGGATACAGAGATCCATTCATTGTTAGAGACATACCAAACCAGTCAAATCTCTTAATACCCCTCCCCAAAACAAAATTAAAATGAAAAAAAAGGCCAGTGTTTTGACATGGGATTGCATTGACTGATCAATCTGGTTTCCCCCCTCTTATTTCAAAATTAAAAAAAAAAAAACTTTAATAGCAGGTTAGTTCAGCCTAAAAGCTGAGTCAAATGGGTTTAACCGGGTCCAGTGTCCAACCAAATTTTTGTAAATAGTCATTTCATTCCATTAAAATAATGAAGCAATGGTGGAATTAATATTTTATGGCACTAAAATATAGAGTTCAGAACATACTGATTTTCTACTTTTTCATTAAAAATAATTTGTTTGACTTTAGGCCTCTAAGGTCGACAATAACTTGCTCTAAACGTTTCTTTGACTTACAAGTTACAACACACCATCAATAAAATATTATATTTCTGATCTCCAAATTGGATTATATTTCCTTTTAATGCAATCACTATACAATTTCTGTTCTTCGATTTTCTTCATTTATCTATTTGAAACGCTTGTGTTTTTTGCCTTTGTTTCCTTCAAGAGCAAGAAATGTAGATGGAAACTTACAGCGAAGGTAGAGGTTGATTGCATGAGACAAGAAACCTTTGCCCGGAACACCTTGGAGCAGAGAAGTGATGGGTATGAAGCTGAAGACCACGGCGTCCGGCGTCGACGGAACAGTCAGCAGCCACTCACAGTGGCTTTGCACCGACGGTTCCCCTCCCCTCTTTGAACAAATAACCGAAATACCCTGAAATTTCATGGTTTTCTATCAATTTTACTTCATCTAAATGAACAAAAATGGATCTTTCTCCCATATGGGTTGATGGGTCCCTCACAGATCCGTTCAAAAAATTTAAAAAAGGAAAAAGGAAGAGAATACCTACATCTTTGCTTGTGACAGAGGAGAAGCTGTCCACGAATACGGGTTTCGGGTCGAATACATTGAATGCCTCCGGAGCCTACAAATCAAGAGCAAAGAATGATATCAACATAGATGATTAATTAAACAAGAATTGTTGATTCATAATCAAGCAAAGAGACTAAAAAGAGAGTGTTCGGACCTTCTTCTTGTTATGGTCCTTGGATCTGCTATGAAGTGGGAGGGTGCAAGCTCCTGTAAACAGTTGATCTCCGAGGCTTTCCAAGTGTTTCTTGATCTCTGCTGGCTCCAAGTTGGAGCTTTGGTCCTGTCTAACAAGAACCACATCAAGACCCCCAATACCCAACCCCACTATTACGTGGGTCCCATAGTTCTCTATGAACCTGCATACACATTACAGAAATTAATCAGATACCCGGTTCACCCGGAGTAACCAACCCAATACTATATTACAGTGCATGTGCACTCTTGACACTTTGTTTGCTTGATTTTGAAGAAAGATAACTGACGCCGTTGATTGTGTTGACTGAACGGAAAGCTACCGCAACCTTGATCCAAGTAGATCATTTGGTCAAATAAAGGAACAAGCTTTCTGGTGGAGAGTTGACAATGGAGAGGTAGAGGTTGGGATTAGTTGTTCCAACTGTTCCCATTCATCTACCAACAAATTGACACTCAAAAGTCTAAATATGGTCATTTTGACGTGGTCAATGGTCAGTAGCTAGTTCCTTTTATAAATCCAGGTTAGTTTGGAAGTAAATGACTCCACCTAGCTAGCCAGGGATTATGGGCTTGGCAATAGTACCAATATGATCTGGTCCCCTCTCCTCTCACGGCACCCCTAATGGCCTGTTTGTGTTTGCAGGCACATACACATGTCAAGTAGTTGGCACTAGGGGGGTGTCGATTGGACCAGATTTGGTCCAGTCCGATCTAGTCCATTGTTAGTCTATTACAGATGGACCGGGTTCAATCCAATCCAATAAATATTTGTGGGCCATTTTGGACTAGTCTAATTCAATATCTAGACTGTCTAGTCTGTTCAAATTGGTTTTAGTTTAGATTGGTTCAAATTCAAACCTGGTCCATTGACACCTGTACTCTTATGTTTTATCAATGGACCGGATATTGATTCAATCTGAACAAAAATCCATTATGAATGGACTAAGTCAAATCCAATCCAATACATACTTTGGACCATTAATTCTGGATTGATCCAATTCATGATCAATCTGTCCACATTGATTTTGATTTGGATAGAGTCCAACCCAAAACCAATCCATTGACACCCCTAATTGATTGGCACTATGGCCTGTGGAGACGCCTGTAGTACTGGGCCAAGTGGGCCCGCCTTCACTCTTCTCCTTGGACCACCAGACTGCCTCCAATAAATAATACCCTAGCCAGCAATGCGCACCTTATCCATTAAGCATAGGAAACTGAAAGGCCCATATAAGTGTTAGGTTCAACCAGCCAGACCAAAGCTTGGTTCAGATGGTTAGCCAAAACGGTAGCGGTGCAATTTGGGCGGGCTCGGATTGGACTTTTGTGAAAATTTGAATGGATCCAATCGAAAGGCCCGAACCTGAACTGACTTGAACCAACTCGAATTGCACCCCTACAAAACAGTATGCATGGTTTGGATTACCTTGCAAGGGCACTGGGATCCCAGCTAGACGGAACTGCTTTTCGGACTTCGTCGCAGAGGACAAGAGGATAACGGTCGATGTGGAGGTTGAAGAGGATGATGTAGTAACAATCAAGAGCCAAGCATTTAGTTGCAGCTGCATCTCTTGCCCACGAGTTGCTGTTAAACCCAAACATGGAATTGAATAGCCCTGAGGGGATCTTCCCCGGCAATGAACTCTTCTGATTGAACCACTCCGACATCTGCATTAGTTTGTTATAACTTAGCCTTCTACTCATCATTTGCAGTGGTGCAAAAGTATGGAAGTTCAAATGACTTAGATGCAAATTCTGATTTTTATTTTTTTATTTTTTTTGAATTTTACTGTAAATGAAATAAAGTAGAACCTATAGTCAAGTAAAACCAAGAGCAAGAATGAATCAGAATTTATACTGAACATTTCATTGCATTGCATAGAACAGTAGTTCTATCAATCTGCTTTTGTTTTACTAGTTATCATACATTGTTTTTGCAAAGTCAATCAAAACCATATTCATTATATGCTGCAAAAATACATGCAAAATTTTCAATAAATAAATTAGTAGCCTTTGGAGACAATGACCGCTGGTCCACTTTATTTATTTACTTTTTAACCCAAGTTCACACGCAAAAGAGAGAGTGTGTGCGTGTGTGAATATGATAGGATAAGATTTGGTGCAATCCAATTTATTTTCATGCCTATTGAAAAGTAAAACAAAAGAAAAAGAGAATAAGTAACTGTTTTATACAGTGATACATGTTAAGGGAAAATTTATGATGGGGAAAGACATGGTACCCGAAGAGTTATGATTAATCAAAATTCAGTAATGGATTTTTGATAAATAAAATTTGATTGGCTATATTCACCCTAAACCAGCAATAATAGACAATGTCAGCATGACCCGATTGGATAGCAAGCCTATACTAATGTTTATACCCGTTGGAAAGAATGCGAAGTAAATATAAACGGGAGATCAAATCAGCTCCCCACACCCACAGCACATCTCCGTGTATTAAGAATATAACCGTAAATTTATATATTTGCACTCCTCCCAAACAGAGAATTACAAACATGGGACAGACTTGCTGCTAGAACACGGGTCTCTTGTAAAGCAGCCCAACATTGCTGCCACCAATTCACCAAAGATGGAAAGAGAAGCGTGTAGAATTGCTGCTTGTGTCGAATGGGTCCCACCTAATCACCACCGTAGATTATGGATAGAGACTCCAAGTAGGCCGTGCTAGCCCCTGGGCAATACTTGAAAATGATATCCATGATTCTACTTGATTTTTCCATTTTTTTAATATTTGTTGAAAAAGAAGAAAAAATTATAAATTTATGGCAGCACATGAGTATGAAAAGAAAATACCGAAAAATACAGATTTCTAATTTACACTATAAGACTATGAGCATTCAAATGGATCGATACCCCCACTCTATACATCCACGCCCACTGGCATCAATTCCGAATTGACATCTACCCCGACCTTACATTAAACCTACAAATTCTATCACTAAGGGCATGGATTATTCTCCCAAAAATATTCAAATACCTGATCCATGATGCCTACTTGTATGCAGATACATAGATATACAGTGTTTGGTGCTGTATTATTTACAAGCCGCCCACGTGGCAACATAACTAGGAGCTGTGTCATGGATTGTATGACTTTCATGAATCGACCAGAGCATGTTCTCGGTGAGATGCTGTTCAAGCCGCCCAGAGGAATGTCTTATAGGAAAGGGTATTTTAGTCAATAAAGTTCCTGCAGGCTGTATCTGCTGCAATTTTTCTTGCACTTCCATGGTCTCAGACCGATGGAAGATTGGAAGTGAACGACAAGTGCAGTGCAATAAAGTGCAGCGGATCTCAACTTGGCCCAACTATGAGATTCTGAGAACTGAAAGCCAGACAGAGTTATTGCACTCATAAATATTAAATAAAATCAAGTCCTACCCCAATTCCCTTGCATTGCTGCCATTAACGCCCACCCACCGCCCCGTTAGAGGGGGGAGAGAGAGAGAGGGAATGTTCTGAAATCTGAATTTCCTAGTGACTTGAAATTGGGTTTTGGCTTGACTGCTTATTATTGCTTTCTTTTTTTTTTTTTTTTTCTGCAGGTTCTAAATGGACCCAGAAAAATTATATATGAAAGTATGAAAGAGAATAATAAGAATCAGCGTCGTAACTTATTCCAATGGAGAAACAAGTTGATTATCAAAGAAGATAGAAATTCTAATTGGCAGCCCAGAACACAAAATTAAGATACTACATATCAGGGAAACACGTTAAAAACCATGAAAGCAAAGGAAGAAGAAGAAGAAGAAGAAAGGTAACATTACCTGATTGAACTCAAGGACGTCGGACTGATACCTTGTCCGGTCGCCTTTATCGCATTTTATGTCGACAGAGACGTCTCCGTAGACTCCAAATCCCGGTATAGCAACCTCTCTCTTCTCTGCTTCATTAAGAAGAACCAATCTTCTCTTTCCCTTGCAGTACTTGAGTCGAAAATCCGATGTTACATCGAACCCTCTCCCTAAACTACTCAGGGCCTTCTCCACAATCCCCCCACCACTCATCTCTCCCTTCTCTCGGTCTCTCTGTTGAAGTCTGGTTGCTGGCTGCAGAGACGACGACAAATACGAGGATATTGTTCCTAGAAAAGAAAGTGGTGATGAGAGAATATCAAAACCGAGTATTTCGGTTTCATATTTTTTATGGTAAGTTCCAAAAGAGAGAGAAGAAGAAGCTTCGAGGGAAGGTTCAAGGTTTCCCTCACCCTGAAGCCATTTTCCGTTTCACACAACGTCACTTCTCTTGACACACTTGGTTTTGACCTTAATTTCTTTCAAGACATCATAAAAGTTTTTTTCCCCTTTCGAGTGTTAACTTGCAAGGCAGAGCAAGGGTGACTGTGGATTTGCGGGGTTCATATAAAAAATTTCTATTTACATTATTCCAATATACGGGTTGAATACAGAGTTGCAGACGTGCAAGACTCCAAATTAATTATTATTATTATTATTATTATTATTATTATTATTATTATTATTATTGTTATTATCTTATATACATATATATATATATATATGCTACCAGTTTCGGATTGATGGTTCGATAGTTTGGTTCGAACGGTCTGTTTTGACAATAAAAATTACAACCAAAAAATTATAAAACCGTTCTGACTACCGGTTTTTGGGTTGACAATTCGACTGTCTGATTCAAACAAATAGCCCATTTTGACAACATAAATTATAAGGAAAAAATTGAGTGCGTGAGGTCTATTAAACAGTATCATACATGTAATGTCATCTGAGCACGTGACTCATACGACCCAAAAATAGAACCGTTTTGGCCACCGATTTTTGGGTTGATGGTTCAACCATCCAATTCGAATGAATGATCCGTTCTGACAACAAAAATTAAAAATAAAAATAAAAATGGCCAAAAAACATTGAATGGGTCGATGGTTCGACCGCTCAGGTCAATGGGTCGTTGACCGATTCAACGGTTTTTTTGGCTAGGGGCCGAGATTGGGGTCAACAGTGGTTGCCTGGATGGTTCTTGGGCCGAAATGTCCGTCCGTCTGGGTCAACGGCGGTTTGAAAACCATGGTTTTTTGTGCTTTTGGATTTTCACTATTCAAAGGTTTATTCTACTATGGGTTTTGTTCAAGCGTGTGTGGTATGTTCCCTTTTTGTTTTGTTTTTTTTTTTTTCTTACAAGATGATCAACTTTGTCTCTTTCTTTGATTGCATGTATGTTTAGCTCTGTCTCAAAGTGGAATTTTGGACTCAATTTTCTATATATTTTTCCTTGATTTTTCTAGTTTGGTGGATTTACTACCAATTTTTTTCTGTGTTTAAGGTCACTTTGGATTTATCTTTCAAGGTTTTGGAATCTCTCGCAATTTCCACCCTTCCCATGACTATGACTATAAAGTTATTTCATCTAATTATTGACATCTAGAGAAAACCACCCGAAAACGGAACCATTCTAGCCACCGGTTTCTAGGTCGACGATTCAACCGTTTGGTTTGAACGGATGGTCCATTCTAACAACAAAAAATAAAAAAAATAAAAAATGGCCAAAAAACGTTGAACGGGTCAATGGCATGACCACCCGGGTCAATAGGTCATTGACTGATTCAATGATTTTTGGCTAGGGACCGGGTTTGGGATAAAACAAGATCGGTTGCTTAGACAGTTCTCGGACTGAACGGTCCTATTGTATGGGTCAATTGGGAGTTCTCGATGTGAAACAAAAGGACAACAATGAAGTAAAAATCAGAACTATCACTATATGATCATATTCTTTTATATGAGATGTTTTGCTGAAGTAATATTTAAAAAACAAGCACATGATGATCGCTTTTAAGTCTTTATATGAGTTTCAAGACTTAAATACTTATAATTGCAAATTTCTTATTAAAAAACCATTATCTTTTTTAATGTAAGTGTCAACACAAATTTCGTGCTAAATTTGGAGCACAAAAATTAATGTAGACAAATTCAAAGGAAATTTTTTTTTTGGCAGAAATTTAAGTGGGATACAAACTCCTTTTTTTTTTTGCAAAGCAAACCCTCTGATTCTCTTGTCTTAGACGAAAGCCGAAATCGCGACTAGAACTTGCAATTATGAGAAGCAAGTAACGCCCAACCTTGTGTTAACGAAGATTTACTCACGCTCAATCAATGATTAGAACGTGAATAACTGAAAGCAATGTCCTCGCTTGTAGAATTGACGGAAGTCTTTTGGATCACAGGAGTTTAAAGATCGGAACTTCACGAGTTGATGTTGTAGCAACTTCGGTGCTTCGGCGGTTGAAGAGTTGGAGCCTTTCTTCTTTCTTCCTTGATCTTAGTGCAGCCCGTTTCTTCTCCTTCTTTTTCAAAAGCAAAGGAAGCGGTCGAAGACGGACAGAGACGAACGGAAGTGATGGTTGGAAGGGGGGAGCCGAATTGGAGGAAGACCATCTGAACGAGAAAGCCCCCTTGTGAACATCCATATTGAGTTTGAAGTTCACTTCATGGCTGAAAATGGATTGGAGCTGCCACCCATCAAAGCAAAGAACATAGAAGTGATGAGGCTCCATGTTCAAGAAAACAACAAGAAATGTCTCACACCCAAAAATAAAGCTAATATAGGTATTTTTTAGGGGAGAGAGGGAAGGTATTAAGCACCCCTCTCCCACAATTGATAAGTAATACCATTCCCCTAATTTAGTGAAAAGAAGAAAAATAAATAAAAATAAAATCTAGAAAGAATTAAGTCTACAAAATGCTGGTAATTTTATGCATGAAAGATGGGGATTATCATAGAGGATTCTTCTTTCAAATGACTTAACCATTCCATTCTTAATTCGGGTATGGGAAACCCTTAAAGGAGCAAAGGAGTTGGCAACTACATGCCACTCTCCTTTATCCAAGGTTTCCCTCACTCCTACAAAGCAAATGGGAAAGGGAAAGCCACAAGTGATTCAATCCCCTATGAAAATCCCTTTCAATTGTTATTCCCAATATAAAAGAGTTCAAGAAAAAAAATTAACCTAGACTAAATCAAATTGAAAGGCAAGAAAGAGAATAGATTTCAGCATTGAAACAAATTCAAATTCAGCCCAAAATAAACACTAAGACAAGGCATATTCATTCAAAGTGATTAACAAAATGTTCTAATGATTCCTACATCTGACCACCATGAAAACTTTTCAAAATAATTACATAATGTCACTTAGATGAAAAGGGTTACATGCTAAAATTAAAGAATGCCTAGGACACCAACAAAGTTCAAGAAAAAAAATGTAAAAAAAAAAAAAGAATGAGATGAGAAGCTCACCTCTTTGTGGCCTTTTGACAAATAATTAGTGATGGATGGGATGAGCTGAAATTAATGGTGCTAAAATGCTAAAACAATGGCGGTCCGAATTTGATTGGATGTAATAGGGGTTTTGTTCTTTTCTTTCTTCCTTGACTTGGCTGAAATGGATTAGAGCTTTCTCTTCCTTCTTCTTCTTCCTTGCTTCTTTTGGCCAAATGGGAGGGGGTTCTATCTTCTTCCTCTTACTTCTTCCTTGTTCCCTCTTCTTCTTCTTCTCCCTTGGCCATGTGACTAAATGGTGGTGCTCTTTCTTCCTCTTCTCTCGTTTCTTGGGTGAAGATGGAGGGTGGTGATCAGTTTGGTGGTGGAGAGAAAGGAGGAGGCTGGGGTTTTTGGTTGTTGGGTGTGAAGGAGAAGAGATGAGTGAGAGGGAACTCGGTGGTGGAGGAAGGAGGTAGAGAGAGAGGAGGAGAATGCAGTTTGGTTCTTGAGAGGGAGAATGGAGAATGGTAAGAGTGTTAGAGAAAGGAGAAGAGTCTCAAAGAGAGTCCAAAAAAAAATCCCCCCATGTTAGGTTCGGATTTGGGTCTTATGGCCTCTTTTTCTTTGATTTTTTTTTTTTTTGTTTTCTTTGGTAGTTTGGTTTGGGGGGTGGTTTAGTTCCACTAGAACTGAATTGGGTTTAGTTAAACTTGGACTGAATTTGGAGAGTTTTGGTTAGGGTTTAAGTGTGAAAGATTAGGATTTCGAGCTTGATTTTCAAAAGAGATGGAAGGTTAGGATGGTTCGATCCCAATATAAGGGATGGTGGCTTCCTAAATTCGTTCTTTATTAATCTCTTGCCTTTTGACCGAATTTAAGGCAAGGAGATAACTTCCCTTGATTTTCTCCTCCTTGTCTCCTTCCCTTAAATGCTTAGAATGGGGGGAGTTTTCAAATTTAAATTCAAATTTTGAATTGAAAATGGCTTAGCCTAATTTTTAAGGATGATGGCTAGAGTTTTGGGGTGCTAAATGATGGTTAGGCCGATCCTAGGGTGGAGAAGCAAGAGGGGGGGGGGGGGCTCAAATTTAAGGGTAGTATTGATTCTACCCTTTTGGTGTAATCCAATCAAGATTGATTGGCAAAACTTGCTGAAATAGCTAATTAGAAAGAGTTTAACCCCAAGATTTTATTAGTTCGGTCAAGCTATCCCTCTTCATATCTATGGCCAACCATCTTACTTTTCCTATAGATTTTCATTTAAGTTTGATTGCCATTTAATTGGGATTCTCTTAATTATAATTTGTATTATTTTAGAAAGTTTGTTGGTTTGAGATCTCCAATTACCAAATTGGTGATCTTTGTATAAACAAGGTTGATTGGAAGAGATTTGCCACTTGTCAAGAAATTAGGGACCACATAAGGAAGGAAATCCATTAATTGAATTAAGCTAATTTTCCTTGAATCAGCCAACAAAATTTTCCTTTTAACCAAATTGTTAATGGTTGCCAATCAATTGGGGCCCATTAAAATTGATTAGAGAGAATCTCTCTAATTGATTTGAGATCTATTTAAGTAAATCTTTCTAATTGCCATTAATGGTGGGCTTTGTCTCAAAATTCAAGCCTCTACGTGGTAGGTATTCATTGCTCTTATTCAATTTGATTTGTAGTGGGCCCTACCCAATACATTCTTGGGTTTGGATTTAATGGTACTTCTCCACTCAATTCTTTTTGTGGGAATACATTAGAGGGCCCATTTTGTAATTATAATTCACATTAGATTCCATCCAAATCTTTCTTAGGCCCAAATTTTGTTATTCAATTCTATTTCATATTGGGCCTAAAATTTACATATCAACAATAAGCATATAGGAATATTACAATTCCAACAATTCCATTCCAGTCCCTAAGGGCCCCTCCGCTAGTTATTGTTATTATTTTAAGAATATCTGATGAGGGCAGATTTGGCCCTCCAGTGAAATTGCGACATGTGGCACCTCATGACAAC